GCGGGTCCCCTTGCCTTACTGATCGTGAGATTGGGTAGTTGTAAGACAAGAAGCCATTAATCTGTACACAACCAGAAGAATCGTTATACAGGGTCTGGACCCATTTCCTAAAGATTGGCCCCACCCCCATGCGTTCCATGCTTGCGTCCATAAAGGCCCAGTTGACTTGATCGTATGCTTTCTCAAAATCGAAAAAGAGTATGGTTGTGTTTATTCTTCTTTGCCTAACTTTGTTGGCTGCTTAGCGTCCCGGGATAAACCCTGTTTGGTCTATGTGAAAGCATTTGTCCGTTATCCTCATAATTGTAGCAGCCAGGGTCTTTGCCAGGATTTTATATGGAAGGGTTAGTAAGGAAATAGGTCTATAATTCCTAATGTCCTCCTTGTCACCCTTCTTATATAGTAACGTGACCACATTGCTACTTATTATGCCGCCTAGGCCCCCCTTTTCGAAACTATCCCTGTAGAAACTCAAAAGGTCCCCCCCTAAGTTTGGTCAAAACTTCTCCCAGAATTCCTTTGTCAGCCCATCTATGTCTGGTGTCTTGTCATTTTTCATACTCGTGAGGGCTTGCTGAAGCTCGTCCAATGATAGGGGTCTGTCCAATTCTTCTGTTTGTTCTTTCAATATTGTCTGTTCCAAATACTGTAGCATTCTTTGTCTTGCTTCTAGAGTACTGCTCGGAGTAGGTACTTGGGTCTTGGACTGATATAATTCTTGGTAAAAAAAATTGCCACAACTAAAATTTCTTCACTAGTCTCCACTGTTGTCGTCAGGTTGTGGAGGGTTTTAAGTTTCTCTATTGTGGCCGCTCTTGTATTCGCCTTAATTCGGGCGAAGAAGTGTTTTGACATCGATTCGTTGAGCTCATATTCACACATTCTGGTTCTTATTTGCAGACCCTTTAACTCCCACCATTTCCACATTGCCAACTCTTCTCTTGCTTTCTCAAATATGTCTGTATAAAGAGCCGAAGACGGGTCATCCCTCAGGTTGTGTTCTGCTACCTTTAGTGCCTCCTCCAGGCTCCGCTTTCTCTGTTTCCTAATAGAGGCCAACTTCCTTGACATGCCCGCCACTTTTTTCGCTAGAAGGGAATAGCTTTCTATGAACCACTCCCTCCTGTCCATGCTAGGTAAAAGACTCATGCATCTTTCCTTCCAAAAATTTTGCATCTCTTCTTGAAAAGTTTGGCTCAACAAGAGGGAGTTGTTCAATTTCTGAAAACCTGCGCCTTTTCTTACTCGTTGCTCAAAGCATAAAGTGATCTCTATGGGCTTGTGATCCAGTCCTGAATAGGGTGCAAGAGGCAAGATCTCTGCTTGCTTCACCGCCCCCATCATTGTCTTTGACACTAGGAAGTAGTCTATTCTTGAGAAGGCAGTGTGATCGGCATGGTTCTTTTTTACCAGAGTGAAGGATCTCGTTGTGGGGTGGGGTCAACTAATCCATGATCGATCATCAGTCTCTAGACAGGTGATGCCTCGTTTATGTTGTAAGGCTGTGTGGAGCGGGATATTCAGTCTGTTTCTGGATCGAGGGTAGCATTCCAATACCCCGCTAATATGCATGGTATCAGGGGAGGGAGGTCACTACTCAATCTTGCCAAAAAAAACGCTCTTTCCGTTGAGTTATTCGACGCATATACACAGACCAGATGAAATTCTTCCTCCTTCCATTTGAAATGCATGAAACACCATCTTCCCTCTTGAAGATCTGCCCCCTTATTAACCACACTTCCTGTCGTGTAAAAGCGGGACGATTTTGGGATCAAGATCGTTGTTCCTTTCGTATTAGAGTTGATGTCTGCCGCCCATATTTCATCTTTTATACCTCCCATTTTCCTTGCCATAAATTTCCTGATCCTGTCATGTTCCGAGGAGAAGGATAGATGAGTTTCTTGATGCATTATGATGTCTGCCTTTAATTTGTTGTTCAGTGTTAGTCCTGAAAGAATACCGTTCAATTTTTCCTCCTTATCCATCACGTTTCCCAACCTTGATATTCTAGCACCTGATCACAATCCCTTGATCCTTCCAATCCTCCAGAACCCCCCGAAACATTCACCCGTCTCCTGAACTCCTCCATTTGGGCTGCACTTCATGACCTGGCCTAACGGTGATCTTGTTAAGTTCGTCCTGGGACGGTGCATCGCCCCCCGTGTCTTCTCCCATGGGGTCGTCCCTGGAACCTCCTTCCTCTGTCGTCAGCCCTTTGGCTTCCTCCATCCCTGATCCCATTTCCCCTGTACTAGGAGAACTTATCCAGCCCGGATCCCTGCTCATCCTCCTCATTTTCACCATCAGCTTGCCAGCCTTGTGACTCCTCGTCTCATTCATCACTCCTATAAAACTTGTCCCAGTCTGCTGGATAAGCTATTGCGTCCAAATTTCCATCCCCCTCTAGCATACCTGAAGTAACCAGTTGCACAATCGATACTGCTGTCAGCTCTGCCGGCAGGCAAGGACCTGCTAGTACGCTGTATGGTACCGCTGTTATCGTCCGCCACGGTCTCCATCTCATCCCTGTTTTCAGACTTGCCGTCGTCGACAACTTAACAATCAGAGGTGAAAAAGCTTGGGGAGGGTGTCTCGCTTGTTTTGTCCTGTGTGATGCTGGGTCTTCTTGTTCTGTTTGAGACTGCGTGTCTTGTTGAGCCATCTCGTCAGATACCGTATCATATACTCCTAGAGGAAAGTCTGTCGTAACCTTTTCCCTGAGGATGTCTGCCACGTTTTGGCCTTCCTCAAAACACGAAATCTGAAATGAGACATCTGTTGCCACCTGCCATTCATTTACTTTATCCAAATATCTTGCTACAATCAAAGGCCTGATGTTCATTAGTGTCAATCTGGAAGAACGGGCCGTTTCCACTACCAGGGGTGCCTGTTTCTTGGCGATGTGAGAGATCGTAGTGAATTCGGGTGCATATTCTTCATTCAGTTTCTTCAGCTTGTCAGTCTGGGCCATAACTGCTACCGCTTCTTGTTCTAGAAGTGTTCGTCCCGAGTCATCCTGAAACTCCGCTGGCATTGTGTCTGGTACCTTCTTTTTCTGATTCTTCCCAGACTTCCACTTCTTCGGGCGCAGATCTTGAAATTCATCCTTGGATTCTGGAACAGTTTTGTCCTTGTCTTTCACCCCCTGTTCCTTTGCTCTCTTCTTTTCTGCATATCGAAACGCAGTGTATTCTGATAACTCCTCGGCTTTGGCTTTCCTGAGAGCATGAAATTGGTTGCTGGAGGGTCCCCATGCCCCCAACAGTCCTTTTTTGCCACTTGTCTGCAATTTCTCCGCATGTTTCGACCAAGCCACTCTGACATCAAAGGCATGCTCCCTTTCCCTTTTTACCTTGTCCACATAATCCCTGAGCCATTGCAGCGATTGCCCAAGTTCCCCTTCGCTGTCATTCTTTGAGTTCCCCTTTTTTGAGTTGCTTCCTTCCGTCCCTTGTTCCGATTCAGTTCCCCTCTCCTCTGATGTCTTGTCCTTTCCCTCTTTCCCCGCGGGGGCGTTGATCGAGGTTTTACTATCCCCAATTTTTGTCGCCCTTCTCTTCTTCAGCCCCCCCTCCTGGTTTTCTTTATGCCCTCCGTTCTCCAAGGAACGTTTGTTGTCTGTTTGCCCCCCTTTCTTTTTATGGAGCGCTGTTTGTTCCATGTTTTGCAGCAAGATTCTAACCGTGGCTGGTTCTTTGTTAAACTCCTGCACTTCCTGATCTCTGACTATGTCCAGGTCCCTTAGCAAATCTTCTCTGTCTTTTTCTTCCCTGATCACCCGTGAGTCGATCAGGGGATCGGTCCTAATCTTTGATGGGTTACCTGTCATTTTCCCGGTGGCCTTTTTCTGCCATCTGCTGTCAGCTGGGGGGAAAATGTTCGGTTTCTTAACAATCAGTTCCTGGTCGGCATAGTGCCAAACCCAATCAGGTTCTTCCAGGTTATCATAAAAAACCCAGCCATTGTAGTTGCTATCCGCGATGAACCAAATACTGGGTGCGTCCCCCACTTCGACCATCATGTTAGCGAGTAGTTTGTGTTCCTTTGTTTGTTTGGGAAATTTTAGACAGTTTGGATATGTTCCCATGTGTCCCCGTTCCCTGCACCGAAAGCAGATTGGGGCGGTCTTGGTTGATACCTTGATCTCGACCACGCTGTTTTCGATCTGCAGCTTCCAAGCATGCGGAAAGACAGGCGGGTTGTCTGTCTTGACTTCCAGCACTGCCGTCATAGAGCCACAGTGCGGAACCAGCAAGTCAAGGGTTGGTAGAATCCATTTGAGGATTCTGTTCGGTGGGTATTGTCTTTCTAGTCTGTCCACCAGCAGCCCATGAAAACCCGGTTGAATGTTGTCGAACTGAACCCAGAAGTTGTCTTTCAACAGAGTTTGTTTGTAGGAGACAGTAAATACCGGATTTTGCCTTTGCGCAGTCACTTTTTTCCATTTGGTGATCATGCAGACCGAACCGTTGCAATTCCTGGACTGCAACTCGGCCGCGGCCTTTGCATGCTCCTCGTGGATGAACAGTGCCGTGATGTTATTTCTTCCCAAGTTTTGTAGTGTGAAGGTTTTTCCCGACTGTTTTAGCTTCAGTTCTTTCTTGATGGTTTCTATGACCCATTTGCGTTTTTCTGTTGGCTGAAGCTCTACCCCATTCCGTGCAAAATTGAAGACTACCCCATGTCGTTCATGCAAATCGTCTAGTTCAGCCACCTTTTCTTCTGGGTATTTCCACACAATGATTTCTTCTTCTTTGCCCTCTGTTTTCTGCATCTCCGTGGTTTGTATCCCTTGACTAGTTCAGCCACCTTTTCTTCTGGGTATTTCCAAACAATGATTTCTTCTTCTTTGCCCTCTGTTTTCTGCATCTCCGTGGTTTGTATCCCTTGAACTTTCGTCTTATCTATCAGGAATTTCAGCGCCTCGTTATCGATTACACTGATGCATCTCTCCCCCGTATTTTGGTTCGTTGTGCTTGCGTTTTGGGTTGGGGAAGCCATTCCCTTCCACTACGGGGAAGTCAGTCCTTACCTCTTCTCTGTCTGCTATCACCTCAGTGTTCCCTGGTTTGTGTTATGTGTTATACGTTCAGATGGTGTTCAAGGATAGTCAGTCTGAAAGAACCGGAGGGGAAAGCGGGTAAAATGGGGAGAGGGGTGAGAGTGATTCTGAATCGGGATGATGTCGAGAATGAGGCGGGATGTAAAGAGAGTGGGATCGGGGCGAGATCTAAACGGGTTCGGAGTGGTATTGGGCGAGACGGGCAGCAAAAGGGATCAAAGTGGGAACCAGTCACGATCGGGTTGGGATCGAGACGGACTAGCTTGGACGAGGGGTGAGGGAGATTCTGAGTTCGGATGGATCGGAGTTAAAGATGGGATGTATATGATTGTGGGATCCGATCGGGAACGAGATGGGGTCAGAATACGCTATCAGTGAAAACAGGTTATGATTGAGATAAGAAAATGTGGACTCCGGGTGGGGATTTGGGCGGAGCCGGGTTGGGATCGGGTCGGGATGGGATTGAGATGTGGTCGGGAACACGAACGGGTCAGGGCGAAATAGATTGAGGGGGAGATGAAAGTGATTCTGTATTGGAATGGGCTGGGGGTGAGTAGTGGGATCGGGTCGGGGTCACGGCGGGAGTAGGCTGGGATCGGGATGGGAGCGCTATGGATTCAGGGTGAGATCGGGTCAAGATTTGGGCGGGATCTGGATGGGCTCGGGACGGGATCGAGATGGGATCAAAGTGGGATCTGGATGGGGTCGGGTTGAGGTCAGGGTGAGGTCGGGCTGGGCTCGAGATGGGCGTGGAGGGCGTGGAAAAGAAGGGAGCTTCCAAAAAAGGATCCGGTTTGGGAAGGGGACTGATGCCAGTGTGGGTTTCGAGCAGCGATCGAGTCGGAGGTGTGATCGGAGTGGTTTAGATGTGGGATCGGATCGTGATCATTGTGATAAGGTAACGTGAGCCGCTCGAGATGGGCTAGTTATGGACTTGGGGAGAGGTCGGATCGGGATTGGGCGGGATCGGGAAGGGGTCGGGGCCGGGATCACTATGGGATCCGACTGGGCCCCAGCTGGGATCGGTTGAGGTCGGAGTGAGGACCGGTTAGGATCGAGGCGGTCGTGAGAGAATCCGCCTCTCGATCAAAACCGGTTTGGGGTGGGAATCGGCGCCGGCGTGGGGTTCGAGAGGATATCGGGTAAGATCAGAGAGGTTTGGATGAGGGATCGGGTCGGGGTCAAGACACGAATATGAAGTGAGGAAGATGAGAATAGGCTGGGCTCAAGGTGGGACCGTTAAGGGGTCAGGTTGAGATCGGATCGATGTTCTGGGTTGAGACCGGGACGGGATCACCGAGTAGGATCTGGATGGGATCGGGATGATGTCAGGGTGAGGTCGAGTTGGGATCACGGCGAGTGTGAAACAGAGTCGAGCCTCGATCAAAGCCCTGGTTTGTGGTGGGGACAGGTGTCGGATTGGGGTTTGAGCGAAGATCCGGGACGGGATCGATTCGGGAGCAAGGTGAGGTCACGCGGGATCAGCTCATGAAAGGGGTGAAATCGGGATGAGTTCTCTGCGGGAACGAAACGATTGGGGAGTTTCGTGAGTTGGGGTTGGGGTGGGAAACGATCTCCATCAAAGGATGGGGGATTGGGATAACGGGGGGAACGTGATTCAGGGACTGGGCGGACAGGATTCAGTCCACCTGGCGTGGAGATGGAGTCAGTTTGGGAGGGAGACTTTAGGGGCGGGATCGAGCTAGATAGTAGTCGGATCGGAAACGGGTTAGGGGTGAGCAAAAGATGGGAAGGGGGAGCGGGAAAAGGGGAGGAGAGTGTTAGTAGGCTGCTAGTAGGGAGTTTCTCACTCTGTCTGGCTGATCTTCGTCTTCGTGAAGGTCGAGAATTTGGTGATGGCAGTTGGGCGCTACCTTGGGGATGCCATTGTCGTAGTCGGGCATGATCCGACCAGTAGATGCATAGATGCATAAAACTTGAGCTGCTTACTGTTGGTCTGGGCGTGTGAACGATCTTCGATACTTCGCGTAATGGTGGAGCGGTCGCAGGCACTCTTCGCGGTGGTTCTGACGTCAGTGCGCCTCTTCAAAACCAGGCGCCTAAGCTTCCTTCCGCCTCATGAATTGGTGAGGCTTCACTCCATTCCCCTCTCCCTCCGCTCAATATGTCTGACTAAGCAGGAGGATCAGCAAGCGCGGGTGCTGGGCGTGCGCCCGTGATGCCCTGCGAGGGGCAGGCTATGGCGAGTGTGTAGTTCTTCGGCGATGGTACGCGTCGGTGCCCAGTCAGATCCGTGACACAACGCGGCGCGAACGCAACGTTGCGCTGACCGAGCGGCGCGAGCGCCAATTCGTTGGAATTTCTAAGCTGCGCTCTGAAGGCAAAAATTTCAAGGTTGATAATATTTGAAGTTTTTGAACGAATGGAGTTCGATCTCAACTCAGTACTTCCTTCCATCTTAGCGTGCAGGTTCTGCCTCACGCCCGCAGCCCCTTCTTCGTCGGAGGAAATTTTTATCCTCTTCGTCCTTGCTTTCAGTTTACCACTGCCCCGCGACCGGATCTTTACCCGATTTGCAGTAGGGGAACACACCGCAGGGGTGCGTTCCCCACCTCTTTTTCGCTTCTCACTGCTAGACGAGTCCATGCTCTTCTTCTCAGCCGCAGCACTGATGACTCGAAGCCGTTCGAGTTCTTCCTTCTCGCTGCTGCTAATCTTGGATCTGTTATCTACTCCTTCCAGTTTCTCCCTAATAAGCTTCAGCGAATCTCCCAGGGTAGCAGTAACCCATGCCTTCATCTCGTCAGACTTATCGCTCTTCTCACTCTCGTTGCTCACACGGTTTTCGCCGTGGCTACTCTCCGTCGGAAGCTCCACAATCTTGACCCCACTGCGTCTGGATGTAGCAATCTTCTTCTTTGCTTCGTCCAGCGCCTTGTCCATCTTAATCTCCTCCAAGATGTCCATGTACTCCTTAGTGAAGTATGCCCGGCTTCCTGGTCCCGGAAAAGCATTCACAGCAGGTCCTTTTCCTCCACCTCCAGTAGTTCCGTGCCCTTGATTGCCGTGTCCAGTTCCTTGTTGTTGGAATGAATGCTGTTGGAATGAATGTTGTTGTCCATTCAGTTGCTGACTTGGTAGATTCTGCGTACTCCACTGCTGATTCGCTGGCCATTGGCCAGCGGGTTGCCATGGCTGTGCACACCATTGTCCCTGCGAAAGGGCTTGATGCTGCATTGGATTACTCGGCATAGTAATCACACCAGGCGGCATCATTGACGCTGCATTAAACTGCTGTTGCGGGAAAATCCCCGGTGGTGGTGGATAAGCAACTGGAGCAGCACTGTTACTCGCAAACGGCGCTTTGCTTACCCCTTGAGGGTTTTGGCCAAACCCATTACCCCCTTCCATCCAATATCTTCCGCAGTGGGACCCGCGTCCACGCCTTCCCCCCGCTTTCTTACCACGCCCTCTCCCGTACATACGCCCAACAGCTAACGAAGCAAGCACACCAACACCGATACCAACACCAATCGTCCACTTGTTCTCGTTACTGCCGATATCTTCCGCAGTGGGACCAGCGTCCACGCCTTCCCCCCGCTTTCTTACCACGCCCTCTCCCGTACATACGCCCAACAGCTAACGGAACAAGCACACCAACACCGATACCAACACCGATCGTCCACTTGTTCTCGTTACCGCCTCCAGTCAGAGCTACGATACTCTTCTTGATACTCAAGAGCATACCCGATTAACGGGCTGGTACGTACTCCCTCGTTGCTTAAGCGTAACTCAATAATTCTTCCACAGGAGTCGCTTGATCGGACCGCAGCGACACTGCCACTGGAGAATCTTAGATTGGATGACTTGTGTCTGACGAGCTACCTCACGTGACGAGTATAAAGCATCCCACGTGTCGCTCACCAAGAGAGCATAACTTCTGCGGTTCGCCCTTCACTGCGCGATCACATCTCCACTGGAATCAATGGATCAGAACACCATCACTGCCGCTGGAGACGCATATCAAGTCTTAGATATGTTGCATGATAAGCTGATTCGTGTGCTAAGCCGGTTACGAGCATGCGAATAATGATTTTAAAATTCGGAAAATTTGGAAAATTAGCCGAGTAAATCCGGCTATAGAATGGAAATAGCGTGAAAATAAAATCCAAGTTAATTTGTCACCAGCGTCGCAAATGGCACAGCCTCGACGCTCAGTAAGCAAGCGCATTCCACTTAGGAGAGTAGATAATTAAGTAAGCAATAAAACAATGAGACAATAAGACAATGAAGCCACAAGTAAATAAATGAACCTCGCGCGAGAGTCACGATGTAACTATCGGCACATCGTGTAGTTCTTTCTTTGCTTTCCTTACTTTGGCTTTTTGTGTGGCTTCTCTTTTAGCTCTTCTAGCATCTCCCCTTTTACTTTGGCTTGCCATGTGTGCCATAGCGTCCCACTTGCAGACTATGAAAAGGAGGCAGAGGAAAGGGGGAGGGGTATATTGTGTTTGTTCTCCTAATTACGCATAGGGGGAGGGAGAAAGGGAAGGGGAGGGAGATGGGGGGAAGAAGAAACAGAACAGGGGAAAGACGAGCTTCACAGGGTTCTCAGTACTCACCAGTAGACCAAACTGCGAGAGACTGACACACTTGTCTGCTCTCATAGGGATGCTCATTCCTAGCGTTTAATGGTTTCTGCACGGGAGCAGGGAAGGGAAGGGGAGGGAGAGAAGGAGGGGGGAAGAGAAGTAGGAGACTGGAGGGAGGAGAAGAGCAGGGGAAAGAGGAAATGGAATTGAACAAGCCTTATGCTGTAATCTTCTATCAACTTATCAAGTTATATGTGATACTACTTTGAATGATTGTAATGTCTTGATATTGTAATGTTTTGATGAAACACCCATTTCATTGGTGAAAGGTGGAAGGTCCCCCATGTCTGGAATCCATACACACCCATTTTCGTTTCAGAACACCTGCACCTTATACTTCGTCTGTTCAGATAGTGATGCTCATTCATATGTATTTATAAGTTTCTGCATGAGAAGAGGGACGAGAAGCGGAGGGATAGGAGGAGGGGGAAGAGACGCAGTGGAGGGGGGACATGAGCAGGGGAAAGAGGAACCACATTGGGTCCTCAATACTCACGAATAGAGACTGTCACAAGAGGCCAATAACGGCCTGGGTTGCAGAGAAAAATGACTGGAGGAGCAGGCGTTGCATATTGATAAGTGGCCACCCAATTCCTCCCAGATGCAGTCATTGCATCGTATGGTGTAGCGCAGACAGAAGTCACAGGCAATGTGGCTCCCACATTCTGCGAAGACAGACACACGACAACCACAATTGTATAGGCATGGCCATATCTTGTCTTCCTCTCTTCTTCTGTCCGCATGTTTTGTCTTCACACAGTCTTTACTTTTTGTCGTCTTCTCTTCTTGTCTTCGCATGGTGCTCACAATCGGATGATGGGTGTTGCAAGATATTCATGGCAATTGACGCCCATCATCTGCAACATATACTGATCTGCAGCAAAACACAATGTGCATGTTGGCCAACACACTTTCCACATTCAAGCAGGCAAAGGCCTGCAAAGCTGCAACCCACCCACAGCCACAGATGCACACAATCGACAGACTTGAATGGAAGTTCAATCCCAACTCGGCACGCACTGGACTGTAAGCCAGTTCTTGCGGCCAATGTTTGTGAATAGGAGTAGGATAAGTGACTATGTGATTGAAGGATGAGGTTACAAAAAGGAGCAAAAGAGGCTCTTGCTACCTTGCTTCCATTTTGACCAACTTCAAAGTCGGTAATCCACAGCTCACTGCATCAAAAGCATTGCCATCAGACATGTTTGAAGGTTTACTAAATCAGTACTCGTTACCATTCAAAGAAGGAAATTTGTACAACAAGGCATGTGCTTCCGGTTCTGTACATAACTAGTTTCCCCATGCGGGCAATGCCCGTGCTAAACTGAAAATGACAAAGATGGGTATTGTACTATTGAATGTAAGAATCATATTGTAAAAATCACAGCATTGATAGTTGCAAGGAATGGCAAACTTTGAGAGCCCAAACTATGAAAATGCACAAGGAATAGAGGCATCACCACAGTCCGGACTTAGGCAACACAAACAGAAGTCATCTCAGGCCCCACATGAGGGCAACGCTGCTAACACTGAAAACCTAATGAAAACCAGATAAAACTTTGATAGAGTGGAGTGCAGTGCAGACTTTAATCAGGTTTGCACGATAAAGCAGTGCCAAAGTGAAAATGTTGCAACAATACCACCTACCAGTCTCCATCTCAAGAATGTGTTATGATCCTGGCTATCTTGCAGTGGCAAAACTCAAAGAAAGACAATTCCGTTCAATTGCAACTGGAATGAAAGAACTTGGGGAGAGAAGTAGACAAAGGAAGAAGGAGAGATAAGAATGGGAGAAGAAGAAGAAGATGATTACCAGGAAGGACCAATGCCACCCCTCCCCTTCATCTTGCCACGATCTTCGTCCTCCAATACCTCTCTCCACCTCTCATTAATAATAATAATAATAACAAGTGAATGCTAGCCACAGACGCGGCGGTGACCACGAGGGGAAAAAAAAAACATATCGCGGGCGCAGTATGCAGAAGGCGTGGTACCAAGCGGGTCGGGCGCAAAATAGTGGGGTATGCAGGCGACGGTACAATCCCTAAATTGGAAGGACGCAGAGAAGATTACCATGGCCCCTGCCCAAGGACGAGGGGCCCCCTCCAACGAATCTTCTTCCAGAAGATCGGTAGATACAGTTGGCATATTTTTTATTCTTTGTGCATATGGTGAGTAGTCGATCCAGGCCCACATCCTTGCGCAGTGAAAGGATTTCATGCGGCAGACACCTGAGAGCCTGGCATCAAAGGTCCCAAAGTCCTGAAGGTTCCGAGGCCCCAAGTCCCAGCGTCACGTGGGTAAGTCCGATAGGCCAGTTGAAGCATCGTAGTCTAAGTCTTGGAAACATCCGGAAAGTGGACTCGCTGCACAGTTAGTCCGGTACCCGACAGCAAAGTCCAGAAACGTCCAGTCCAGTCCCAAGTCGACAAAATTGCAGCAAGTCCCAGGAAAGTCCAGAAGTTACCGGACCGATTGCAACAGAGGTCGCGGCTGACGGGTTACGGTCTGAGGCAGTCCAAGCCAAATCCAATACCTATATTTAGCTGCTACAGTGCAGCAGCCGGACACACTTGTTCAGTTGCGAGATGCGGAATCGCTGCTGCTTCTTGTGCGTTGAGGCGGCTTGGGCATGACACGTCTGGAGGTGGCAGCAGACGCTGGAAGAGACTCCATAGTTAGGGTAGCGAAGTAGGGGATAGGGCAGCCATTGCCGCCAAGTGGGAGCTATCTGAGTTGGTGTATTCAGGGCAAGATCCAAGGCAGGAGAGAGAGGGAGAGAGAGAGAGGAGAGAGAGCTGCCGTCGAGCACATACCTGGTTCGAGTCTGAGTGGGTATAAGAGGCAGAGACCGCTGGAGACATGGACACTTTCTTCTATAATAAAGACATAATATAATTGTGTGACAAACCCTCATGCAATTCTGGTGTTTCGCCTATTGGCTTCAAGAGTGAACTCTCATCTGGTTGCCCATTGCATGTGTGTGCGAGGTTGTGGGTGATTGACTTGCAAATCATTGCAGCAGGGACCATTGCCCTTCGATTTGGCCTAGCTCGACGGGCCGTACGTACGGCCCCCTGGCCGACATACGGGCCGTACGTACGGCTGTGCGTGCCCGTTCCGGGGCCTTGGGGGGGGGGGCTTAGAAATCCGACGGCGGGGGCGGGTTGCTGGAGCAGAGGGGTACAGCCCCCAACGAAAAAAATAAAAAAATAGAAACTTCTTTTTTTTATTGGATTGATGTGATTTAAAAAGAAAAAACCAAATTGATTGATTGATTGATTGATTGATTGATTGATTATTGATTGATTGATTGATTGTAAAAATGAAAGGCATTCCACGATGCAGACCCCAAATTCGAATCTCAGGGTCAAAGTCCCCAGGCCAAAAAAAGGCCAGGTCGGCCTGTTTCAGAAGGGTTACGTCGGGTACCCCAGAGGTCAAGTCCAACAGGTACCTGATCAACAGTCACGTCCCAGAGACAAAAGTCACCTCCCATAGGCAAGGATCACGTCTCGTAGACAAAGGTCATGTCCCACAGGCAAGAGTCACGTCTCGCAGTCGAAGGTCATATACCACAGGCAAGGGTCACTGCAATAACTCAGCTCAAATCATGCATTAGTCGTGGGCTGTGGGTCGTCATTTTGGTCAAAGGGCCGAAATAGGGGTCAACGGCCACGCCCAAGTCGTGTAAACTGCCTGCACGCAGGCCTGCTACCATGGGGTACCCGAAACAAGGCCTAAAACTGCCCTCCAGAGGACCAATGTGCAACAGTTGACTGTGGAAAGTCAAAGGTCAACAGCAGCTCGGAAATTCAGGCCCACGAGTCAGAGTCAACATGGACCCAGTCCAGGCCGCCAATCAGACACTTACGCTTGGCTGTTTGCAGGTATCTGTAAGGAATCAAGTCCAAGTGGGAATCTGCAACTGTACGGGATCCAGGCCATTGGCTGCGAG